ATAGTAATAAAAATCATTTAGTTCAGTAAAAGAACAGACACTACAATTAAAAACTGAACGCGGCTGCTCAATGAACAACAGTCACATCACAGATCAGATTTCATTTCTCCAGTGAGGAGATAGAGTCCAGCTGACTGACAAGAAGAGTGAGGTGAGACAGACAAGACGATGGCGGATGATTTTGTTTCGAAGCGAAATGCAAAAGCGCCTGTTTGGCAATATTTTGGATTTTGAAAAGCCTGTTGACTTTTGCCGTTTATCTAAGGTGATTTTGGAAGTAAAAAAAAAAAATAAAATCTTATTTAATTGGTTCCACAATTAAATGTTTTAATGTTTTAAAAATGTTTGCTGATTTTTACTTTATTTAAACTTTGTGTGATTTATTTATTTCATTTGACATCAGAATTGCCGCTAATTCGAAAGTGAAAGTAAAATGCGCATGCCGCTTTTAAGCTATTTAAAAGCGAAGAAAAGTGAGGAAAAGAGGGAAGATTCAAATGAACTAAAAATGAACAATTGCTTTATGCCGAATTGCCACTATTTGAAAGTGAAAGTAAAATGCCACGCCACTTTTACAAGCTATTTAAAAGCGAAGGAAAAGAGGAAACACCCCTGCCCCTGCCCCCGCAGTGATACCGGTATTATCGGTGTTGTCACACGTCTATATACTTGCAAGAAACAATTATAATATTAAAAGTAATATATTTATAGAATATTGTACAATATACAGCGTGTAAATATATTTATATTGAAATATTTTATTTTAATAACTTAAATATAATTAAGGATTTTTATAATTCTAACTTAATGCAGTATTTGTGTACTGAGCCTTAATATTTTATTAATATTTCCTGGTTCAATGTAAAAAAAAAAAAAAGACCATTCAGTGTATGAATGACTTCATTCAGAATGACTTGAACAAAATAAATCTGTAAAATAATCATGTCATAAATAAAATATAAAATATAATCCTGACATGCTTCTGTTTCTTTCACAGAGCACATTCAGCAGATCATGATGCTGGAGGAGACAGTGCAGCATGTTGTGATGACGGCTATACAAGAGGTACACAACACACCACCCAAAGAGTGCTGAACAAATTAGGAGTGCTTTAAAAACACTTTTGAGCTAAGCCTGGACGATAAAACGGTATAGATATTTATCGACGGTACACCTTCTTCGATGACGATATAAAAAATGTTCGATATAGTGCACGATATAGGCACGTGCTCTGATTGACGCAGACAGCACACACAAACATGAGTGCTGTGCCTGCCTGTGATGAGGAGATTGTGAATAAAAAAAAAGAATATTAGTCGAATTTAAAGGCGATTCGGCTCTTTGTATTAAGCAATGCATAAATACATGATACTGTTTTGTTCACAATTGTTTATGCAATTTATGAAATTATATTTGATTTATATGAGTTAATTTAGACATAATGCACGTTTTTTATAGACGGTTATTTCCATGCATTGACATTATGTGCTGCATTATTTTGCTCATTGCGCCCTCCGTGGCCTCGGGAGACAAGACAAAAGTTTCCTTAAAACCTATTTAATCTGCATATAAAACATTAGAAATGAGTTATTTGTTTAATTTTATTGTGTGTTTGACTGTTAAAGAAAAAAATATTTGTTGTTTGTCTCAATAAATTGGGTTAATTTAAAAATACAGTGGTTAAATTAAAAAAAAAAAAATTATATTGCTCTTTGTTTTAAAAAAAGGTTATAAAAAATGTCAATAATTATCGATACCGAACGATATGAAACATTATATCGTTGATCATTTTTTTAGCTGTATCACCCAGCCCTACTTTGAGCATATATATTAATGAAGGGATACAAGGAGACATTAACAAGCAAAATGGTTTTAATTTATCAGAATACAAAGAGTACACTAGGTTTATACATATTTATGCTGCAAACTCTATTTCATAATTCTGTATTTATGATTTTATATAGTTTAGAATTATATTAAATGCCAGAAAGGAAAACTTTCTGGACTTTTAATTATAAACAAGCCCTAAATACACAGGGACTCTTGTTTTGAAAGGTCTATGCTTTATTATTATTGCCAGCTGCTCATTCATAAAGATGGAGATGAAATAAGCACTCTTACAACCATCTATAACATATTACATTATGAACACCATTATAGTAAACACAATTCATCAAGTCGATCGTAAGCAGTCGATTGGCATAAATATGCCGTTTTCTATGATTATGAATTGCTCTGAAACTGCGAGCCTGTCGAATCGTATGTAACAGTGCAGAATTTTGACATTTGAAACCTGCAGTGCTCATACTGATTTCAGTAAATCATAGCCTTTTGAAGTTTAATAATCATATTAGGCTGTTTCACGATTCCTGCTTTTCCGTCCCGAAATGTAAAACCTCTTAAAATTATAAGCGCCATTTAAGTTAAGCTCTTATAAAAAGTAAATTATAAGTTAAGCCATTTAAGATATGCAAGACTTTTTATGACATAAAATTTCATAAAACTGAATTTTGTAGACTTTTTAAGGACTTTTAATGTGCGCACATGTTCCTAAATACATAAAAAGTGTTTGTATGCGCCATTCATCTGCAGCAGGTCTCCAAATGACAGACATATAAAAGTTAAATAGTGATTTTTACTGATAATGCAGAAAGATTGAGAGAGAATGCATCAAATAGGCTGTGCTTCATTAGAACTGATTTATCGTGTAACTCATTGTCTTGAGTCCCTGTGGAGGATGTGAATGTGAAATACTTCAGGTCTCCGGTCACTGTCGTAGTGGGCGTCAGTTTTGGGCTTTTATTCAAATGTTTTCTCTGTAACTTCCTCCCTCGGGCTCGGGCTGCTTTTCCACGTTCAAATGATGAGGAGGACAGTCTCTCCATTGATCTGTGTGAAAACTCGTTCTGTTCTCCCAGAAGGCTGCGTGTAGATATATAAAGAGCAGCAGATGAAACATGTGACCGCTGTGCTGTTGATCTAATGTGTTTGTGTGTCAGCTGCTCACCAAAGAGATTGGAGGCAGGAACTCCAGAGACGTTCGGGGATTTCGACAGTCAGGTGAGCGCGTGTGTGAAGTTCAGGATCAGACGGGCTCGGGTTTTATTCATCACCTCATGTATTGCTCGTCCTGTTGTTCCTCAGTCCAGGAAGTTTTATTTTCTGAGTGACGAGACGGATGATAGAGACCGCACGACCCAGCGCTGCCGAGAGCTCCAGCAGCAGGTGACCGCTGCACTGAGCGATGAGAAGTGCAGGAAGGTTGACTTGGGTAATGAGTGAGATGCTGGTGTGAGTTTCAGGTGTCCGTTCTGATGGAGGAGAAGTCCTCGCTGCAGGTGGAGCTTCAGTCTCTGCTCTCACCAAAGAGGGTGGAGGCAGGAACTCCAGAGACGTTCGGGGATTTCGACAGTCAGGTGAGCGCGTGTGTGAAGTTCAGGATCAGACGGGCTCGGGTTTTATTCATCACCTCATGTATTGCTCGTCCTGTTGTTCCTCAGTCCAGGAAGTTTTATTTTCTGAGTGACGAGACGGATGATAGAGACCGCACGACCCAGCGCTGCCGAGAGCTCCAGCAGCAGGTGACCGCTGCACTGAGCGATGAGAAGTGCAGGAAGGTTGACTTGGGTAATGAGTGAGATGCTGGTGTGAGTTTCAGGTGTCCGTTCTGATGGAGGAGAAGTCCTCGCTGCAGGTGGAGCTTCAGTCTCTGCGGGAGCGTCTCAATCACTGCGAGCCGCACCACGTCTCCTCCACCATCACCAACAAGAAGCTGCTGCTGCTGCAGAGTCAGATGGAGCAGCTGCAGGAGGAGAACTACAGGTGTGAGGCCCCTGGCGCAGCTCCACCACAGGGCCCAGAGTGTCTAAACTCTCAGACTTCAGTGCTCAGGCTTAGATCACACTGATGCTCCAACACTGACTCACTCTGTGGGCTGGACAGCGAGAAGTGTACAAAACCTGCATTTTCATATCAAAATATACATTATTCAAACTGTGATATAAATGTAATATTTTATTTCTATTTTATAATCTTATATAAATTATATTAATAATTTTATTATAATCATCATCATCATAATGTTATTTAATATTGATATAATTTATATATTATATAAATGAAATAAATAATTATTAGTTATAATTGATTACTTATACTGGCTATCAATTCACGCAAATACAAAATTATATTTCTATGTGGTATATAAATAATTATAATATTATAGTATTACATGTATGTAGTATTAAAAATATAGTATTTTTTATAAATAAATCAATATTATTAATATTATAATTAATGATTAATTCCGCCTATATCCTTTCATACAAATAAAATATATATTTTTAATATGATATTATTAATCATTATAATATTATAGCACTATTTATGTAATTTGTATTAATATTATATAATAATATTTCTATATTGTATTGTAAAGTTCATTGTAATTTATTACGTAATTGATTTCTGGCTATATCCATTCATACAAATACAAAATTGTATTACTTTATGATGTTATGTAAATAATTGTAATATTATTGTATAATATTTATGTAGTTTTATTAATATGATACTATTATTTCTATATTATAAATAAAATTAATATTTCTTTAATTATTACTTGAATACTGCTTGTATTAGTTTGTACAAATGCAATATTATATTTCTATGTAATATTATAATTAAATAATATGAAATAATTATAATATAGTATTATTTATGTAGTCATATTAATAATTTTTATATGA